ATATTGGAATAAAGTTTTCACTTGAAGGTATTATTCATCTTATACAATGCTTCAGGACACCCAAACTATTTGCAGAATTTGCTGATGGATCTTTAAGTACGGGCATTTCTTCTTCAATGTCTTGTTACTTGTGTTGATTTAAGTGAAGTAGCTAAGTTTTAGAATGTAGAAATGAAAAGAATTTTAGAATTTCAGTTAGCATTGAAAATACATTTGTTTTCTTAGGCAATGGTGAGGATTTATTCCTCTTGATTTTAAGGTTATAAATTTAATAAATTTGAATTCTAACTTGAGATGGGCTGCTTTTAAAGTTATGCATTTAGCGAAATAATTTATTTTAGATCGATCACTCAGTTCCCCACAGTTAGGAATGTGCTTTATATTTTTGTTCGGCACCATCGCTGAGAAAGGTTTAGTTAGTCAACGTATAATATAAATTTATTTTATTTAATTGTTTTCAACGTAACAGTTTGTTGCTCTCTTTCTTAAAAATACTGCAATTTTAAATCACTGCAACTAAATATACAGTAATTCCTAACTTCCTAACGATAACCACAAATACATTTCCATTAATATGCAAACTCAAATACCAGGGAAGAAATATTCATTCATAATATCAATATTCAGTGCACTAAAATAACAATAATTCAATTACAGTTTAACTATTTCATCAACATCCTTTAATAATCAAAATTTCTAAAATTGTATTGTGTTCCATAATCTGCACAAAGCTCCATGTTTCTAGAACTTTCTGGTCAAAAAAAATATAATGACCAGTGGAATAAATAACCACTAAATAACCACTAACAACATTACCCTAATTTACATTTCTAACATATTTATTAATTATCTGTTAACTTATGATAGCTGGCCAGACTACCCCTGCATAAATAATATTCCAAATCATTTATAATATAAAAGTAATTTATATAAAAAAGCACTACAAACTTAAACATAATATAGGATTATTTTAAGCAATTATACAACATTTATTCTTTTTGTTTCTTTGGTATATATTAAAATAGAAATTTATTGGATTATAACAATTTATTGAAATCTAACATATTAAGTTTTCTGTACGGCATTTCAGTACTTAACCTACATATTAAAACAATTACCAAATAACTGTAAGACACTATAATAAACCGAATTCTTTTTTCTTTGAAATTATAAAGTAGTTCTCTCGCCTTCTTTGCATGCCTTCGTGGTGTACTGGTCAGCACGCTCGACGTGTATTCGAGAGGTCCGTGGTTCGAGTCCCGGCGAGGGGATTTCTCATTTTCATCTTTCCTGCTTCCAAAATACCTAATGTCTCTACAAAATATTTAAACAATTTTTCACTGTAATCTATTTTCCATTAGTTGTATAATTTAAAATTTCCTTTATGCCAAGTAATTACCGAAAATTCCCCTCGCTTGATAATTAAAACAATGGTATGAGAAAATAATACCCAGTAGGACCTCATTAAAAATGATTTTCGCAAGATACAGAAGTCCATCAGTCTGCGCACGGAAGAACGCAGTTGCACCTTGCACTATCCATAAGGCACAACGTTCAGGATCCAATTTCGTCATCTTTAACAAGAATGATATGATACAAAAAAATCCAACTCATTTTAAGTTGTCGAATAAAATGAAACGAATCTTAAATAGCCGGACCGCAACAAGGTAGACCGAGAAAAAGAAAATTTTTTTTCCTTATGGAAACACTGGTGTCTCAGTCTCATACTAAGACAAAATCGAAATTCTTCCCTCTTCACTCTTTAGCGAAATTCATTTTTCTTTTCGAGAAACCATCTAGCAGTTTCCTTTTCCATCTTATAGCATCGATGTTTCAGCTTGCAAGCGCCAACTCAGACTTGCAAGCATGATTTTGCAGCGAACGGGAAAGCAGTCTTGGGGCGACGGCTCAAGTCTCCTGGCCCCTAAAAACTCCGCTTCCTCCTTTCTCACACTCTAGAACTTTTAGCTAAATCTGATTTCAGCCCTCCCTCAAGTCCCAAGGAAATCTCTGTTCTCGGCTCCCTCTAGGCTGAAGACTGAAATTAAAATAATGTCAGCCGAATACTGAATGAAATTCTCCCTCCTTCCAAACCAATTCAAAAACTGTCCACTTGTCCCGTCTGTAAATGACTCAAAAACATCCCCGAGGAAGAAATTTCGACTCCTTTTATCTTTCAAGAAGAGGAAGTTTTTATTAATTCTTTGGTTTTACACGCCGTCTTTAATTGCCGACTTAGAAAACTTCGTTGTCTTTCCCTTCGAAAAGGAGCAATTTATTTTGAGAACTGAGATCTCCAACTAAGAGAAAGCGAAGCAAAGACGTCAATTTTCTTTCTCACACAGCCCGCTGAGAAATTCCGTTGGAAGAACACTGACCACGTAATTTAATCCTCGCTAACTCTCTATCCAGATGTTTAGAAAAAACAACACTCTGTTGTCAGTCTGCTCTCCTATCTCCTGCCGTGACAAAACTAACAATAAGAACTGAAAATTACGTCTGAGCTTTTAACTGCCAAAAGAATTAAACTCTTGGTACACTAATCCAAACAACTTGATTTAAAATTATAAATAATCCTTAATACATAATTAAATTTCATTTGTAAGACAACAAAGATGTTAGTGAGTTAACTGAATATCACTCAGTAACTCTGTCAAATGAATACGTATTTGAGCAACAAGAGTTAAATGAAATGTACATTGGAAGTGAGAAGAAGCTAATAAAATCGCCAAGAACTCTGAAAAATATGAGTGAAGCTTTCATGCATCCTGAAAATGTATTGGCTATTACGAAAGAAGGTGATTTCAATGGAGAACTTGATAAACTCTTGACGAGTTTATCAAGAAAACTCTCGAAAGCGCTTAAACTTGCTTCATTAACATAATTATGTATACTGATAAATAGATAATATTATTGATAAAGAAATATTTTAAATGCGATCCTTAATGCTTTTTTTTTACATCCCTCAAATTTCAAACATTCAATATTCGCCCACATTTCAGAAATTTCTTATGTGCGTAAGTCAAGGGCCTTCTGTACTTATGGTTACATATAATTTTTTAAATGTGGTGAAAGAATTCCAGGAGCGAAAAATCCCAGGAATAAATTTACTTGGAATGTTTATTTATCATCAGTCTAGTTTATAACGTTAGGAAATGTTTACCTATAACATAATTAAGCAATATAATTTTTAATATTAGGAAAAATGCATTAAAATTCACTCTATCATTGAATTACTCACTCAGTTTATATCCATAGTATCCATAGAAATGGACAACCATTTATTTCATGCGAAAATGTGTAGACCTTAATATAAGCATTCTTTAGGATATATAAGACAAGAATTAAATATATAACCGATTACTACTTATTTGATATTCGTTGGATAACAATTATTTTACAATCAATAATACAACTTCTTTTACAGAAACTTCAGTCAAACTTCAGTAAATTAAGTGCTTTTTAACAATGAATGAAAGACATAAAACCAGCATTAAAATTCATATGATTTTTATCAGTTTCATACTACACTATAAAAATTTTACTTTCTAGGGTTTATGGAAATATATACTTCAAATAGCGCATCAAATAAATTTATTTCCAATTTTAACGTTCTCTGCATGAGAAAGCATCTAAATATAACTCATTTAATATTATTTCGTATGCTTTGACAATAAAAAAGGCTCAATGACAATGTTTTAGAAATTTCATTCATTAGAGAATTGCATTAAAAAGATACCTATGTATATAATGAGGATATTTGGGAATTACTGATGCAAATGATCACTTAACAATGAATAATTGAGTTTTAGCAGAAAAATATAAAATGCTAAAGGCGATGAATGTTTTCGATTCGACAACTAGGTGTCTCTACGTTTTAATCAACTTATTATTGATTAAATGCGCGAACAAACAATTTTCCCAGGCATTTTAATTCCGAAAGTATACGTATATTATTGGGATAAAATTCGTATGATACATTTATTTTTAGAAACACATACGTAGATTTTTCGGAGCCAAGCAGCTTGGAAGGTTAATACATTATTTTATATTTATCCATTTGTTATTGCCACACAAAACGTAAATACAGATCAAAGAATAGCCTAAGATTTTTGTCGTTTATTCCTTTTAAAAAAATGTGTGAAAAAGAAACATTTGAGAACTTTAGCATAAATCTGCAATAATATTGCATATAAACTTATATATGATAAATAAACCTTTAATTTTTTTATCTTAACCAGTTACCAAAAGGGGTAATTATAAAGAAAAACAATTAATTAATTAGTTAAAAGTACACATATTTGTGAAGAATACTTAATTCGTTTAAAATCCCTTTTGTTGCATGACCTGTTTGGAAGAATAAGGCATTAAACGTCTCGTGATTATAATTTGTTTAATGTTTTACATGTAACATCATAACCTATTCAATATTCAATATTTCATAATATATATAGTTTTTAATATCATTATCATCAAATGCTGTACATATAACATTATAATTTAGCCGACAATAATTCCTTCAAATGAAATGGTGGAGAGTTTTGCGGTTTTCATAAAATGTGCGATATGCAAACTATGTTTTACTTCTTTCGCTACTTTAAAAAAGTAAAATTTTAATTAATACTTCACAATACCCGCATAAAAGTTTATAAGCTGAGCTTCCTAATTAAAGTACATAAAATAGGCATGATGTTGTTAACTGAATTTCCTCGGTATCCTTATATTTCTGGGCAGATGCTGATAATGTCGCTTCATATATATAAACAATTAGAAAAACGATAATTCAAAAACCCGTTTTTCTCAATCGATATATAATTGATTCAATTAAATAAATTTAAATTTCATTGAAAAAAACTGATGAACTATTCCCAATTGATGCACTTCCACTAGCTACGCACCATATCTGCATTAAATACATCGTGGAACAGACAGCGCTGATCCTGTGTGAAAAAAGTTTAAGGGAACCAGACTGCTTTACCTTGTGGAGCCACTGCCATTTAATGACGGAAAGAAACCTTAAAACTCAGAATGGCGTTCTTCAGGCAGTCATTTCCGTCAGAGATCAACTAGGCCTTAGAGGGGAAGCTGAAGATTTCGTGAAACCACAATTTCCACATCATATAAGAAAATATGTAATCAAAAAATTATCTATTACACGAAATCCTCAAAATGAAACCAATGACCATATTTTAAAGTCTTTGGAAACCATTAATGATTTATATTCTGAGAGTAAATGTCTACATGTGTTTATGGATGGCTCTGTGTTAGCTAACAGTATTGATGCAGGCGCTGGCGTCTTTTGCAAGCTTTTCCCATTTCTTAATCCTGCTGGAAAGAACAAGACTGCTTTTGATGCTGAGATCAGAGGCATACGCATATCCTTATCCAAACTCCAATGTCAACTTGAAAATTTTTCAAAAGTTGTCATACTCGCTGATTCGAAAGCTGCTTTTCTAGCCATTTCTTCTTTCACCAGTCTGTTGATGTTTTAAAATGTCTTTCAGCAGTTTCTGAACAACTTACAAAGAAGTTAATTTACAATGGATACAATCACATTGTGGCCTTCATGGAAATGATAAAGTAGATTTGTTGGCAAAGAAAGAGGCCAATATTCTCCAAATAACTGAAAACCACATCCCTTTTTACACTGCCAAAATAGTAATCAAAAAGTACTAAAGAGAAGCTTTTTGGAAAGCAGAAAGAAACAGTCACAAAGTATGGATTAACAGAATTTTTGGCTCTCTTTTATGGCCAGAAAGAAATCTGTAGCTATCTTTCGTCTTCTTACTGGCCATGATTGCCTTTTAAAACATCTGCGTAGAATGGACATTATCCAAACCCCAATTTTTAAATTGTGCAACCTTCATGAGGAAATAGAGGTCTCACATCTGAGTCGTTGACCTCCACTTAATGCTGGATCAGTTTGCGAGAGATATTGGGAGACAAGACAAAAAACAGATTTATAGATTATACTGTGGACTATTTTCTAGTTTTACTGTACTCTTTCATCTTTGCTTGTTCTGTGTATAGTTGTCTTTGTGATCTGCCATTAGAAATTATAAAAAAATATTTCAAAAGAATCTTTACCACCTGAATCAATATTCATATAGAGGGAAAATTTATTAACAGATTATTAACATTATTAATTATTAACAGATTAAATTAATTTATCAATTTTTCCCTACGTTTTAAAACCGATTTAATTCACTAGTTCACTATTAACACGGTTTATATTTAAAGCAATATAATGTTTTAAATTTACACTCCCAGCTTTCGCATCTCCATTTCACTGATATTTAATGCAATTCAAATATACCATCAGTTAGCTTTTTTATTTGGCAGGGAATTTAAAACTAGTGAGTGACAGAATTCTTCTGTACTTTATTTTTTGTTTTATTATTGCTCTTTTTCTATTTTGCTTTAATTTTAATGATTATTTTGCATATTGTAATGTACTTTTATTATTAGTTAGGGTTGAAAATGTGTCCTATTGATTGCCTTTTCTATGATTCCCTATAATTAATAATATTTATTGAGCTTACAAATAGAAGTGGTTTTCTCATATTTTTAGTTGGTATTTTAAGTCTTACGTGAGTAATAATTATGATGTTTTCTTGAGTTACTATGTCCCTTATAATTTTACGCTGTTTTAATTTTTTTCTTTTTTTCCTTTTTTTTTTTTTTTTTTTACTTTCAGGCCATGTTAGCTATATTGCATTCTAGTTTCACATTACATTAGAGCAGATCGAGTCTTGGATGTGATTTGATGCATTAACTTAATTTTTATTTGAAATACGAATTATTACAGGAAATTCATGTAGGCTTGGAATCTAAAATGTAGTTTTGAATTTTGACTTCTTTTACAGCCGCTGTCTGTTAACGACTACAAAAGCATACCAAAATCAAATCATTTTCCTGTTTGTCCTTCTCCACTCTTTTAATTTTTAAGAGATTTTTTATTTTTATTTTATTGGTAGGTAAATGTTCTCCATGACGCAGTGAATTAAATTCAATTCCTCATATTTCTTCTAAATTTCTGTACTCATCTATCTATCTATATATATATATTGAGTAAAAATGTGAACTTTACAGGTTCATTGACACTGCTTTTTGAATGAAACAATAAGTCGATACACGGATATATTTTTTAAAGAAGTAAAGTATAACTGGAATTTCGAACCAGGAAATAATTAGCTAAAGATTAAAATATTTACGAAAATACTTCGCCTTCATATCTTGGTAAGAAGTTCAATGCCATTTTAATGTGAAAAGAAATTTTAAATTACATAATAACAAGCGTTTTAAAACATGAGTGAAGAAATCCGATTACCAGTCAAGATTTATAAGTAATAATTTCTTTGCTACATACAGCAGAAATAATGGAATATAGATTTTTATTTAATTTTGAATAATTTTATTTATACGCTGGCATTCTTGCATTGTTTATATACTTTGTCAGTATAACTGCATTTTAAAAATAATTTCATAGAAATTTCAAAAGAGTTTTCAGAAATGGAATAACAACATTATTGTAAATATTATGCATAAGGGAATGGAAAGAAATTTTAAATTAAATGTAAAATTTTTTACAACTTTTGTAACTTACAAATAAAAATTTTAATTAAGTTTAACATTTTAATCTGATATAAAAAGCGTAGCTAACTCGTAATATTATTTCAAAATGAAAATGAATATTAATTCAAAATGAAAGTATTTGTACTTTAAATAATTTACATAAAATTAACAAATTATGATTCGAAAGTAATAAAACTGCATGGGAATATGAGTAACGAATATTTAGACTTAAAACTTAAAAGTTAATTGTGTTAAAATCTTTTCGGAAAAAAAAATGTAACAAAAGTATGGAAAATATACTAGTAAATCATAAAAAGATATCGCTGAATGACATTTAAAGAGAAAACATCAACCTCGAATTACTGTAATTTATTCATTAACTGACCCTCAATGGAAATTCAATTTGACGCCAAATGTCGCAAATTTTGAAACTAAATATCTTGGTCAGTTTTTGTCATTGGGTATTTTACAGCAAGTACAAAATTTTCCAATATATAAATAAGAACAGGAAAAATGTATAAAAAGTTAGATTTCGTATTATCTACAATATACTTTCTTAATCGTGTCAGGGAATTATTTTCAGGTTTGGATAATATTTTTTTATTTCCAAATTTTATATAATAATTTTTCGCGATTAAGATAACTCATTTCAACATAAGAAGGAGACGAAACGCAATCATACTCAAATTATTGCGAATTATTTGGGGGAGTGCTAATTGAACAGATTCAGACTTAGAGATACTCCTTTCTGCGAATGCGGAGAGGAAAGCGACACGGACCATTATTACTTCCATTGTGTACATACAAGAACCTGGCACTTGAAGAAACCAGCGGACTGTGCCTGGGCAATGTGGACGACTAACACAATCAAAAACAGAATATCCCTTGATAAAATACAGAAAATCCCAAGACACTGCCTAAGCAGAAACAACCGTGGATAATATTATAATGTTTCAAATGTTCAGAACTTAAAGCAGATAACCAGAATAACGCTTAGTGCCTTGCAGTTATCAACATGTAAAAACTGTTATTAGTATATAATATTCAACCTTGTTACTCTGGATTCTTCCCCGCCGTGATGGTATATAATTCCGTTTGGTTCATGTCCATGGTCGGAAGCTATCATAGCGGTGCACTCACTCACTCACTCACTCCTATTGATAAGTCAGCAGTCTTCCTGGAAATCGACAGTAATTTACTTACTTATTTACATATTTACTTATTTACATATTTATTATTTATTACTTATTACATATGTATTTTTTACCTTATTTTTTACCTTATTTCTTATGTATATAAAATTCCCCTTTTTTCTTTTATTTTAAAATACACGTTTTTGAGCCATACCAGTAAAAATATTATACTCCTTTTAAGTTTATTATAAGTTTTTAACAGTTTTATCACAGTCCTTTAAAGGTTTAATATTTTATAATTTCAGTTAGCAATAAATTTACACTTCATTTCCCAGGAAATAATCATAAATAGAAAAGTAAAAATTATATATATTTATATATATTTATATATGGTTATCGCCTTACTAGAAGACGTAGCCAGACTCCTTCACAAGAAATGATAGAAGATTAAGGGTTAAATTGTTACTTCTGAGCATTAAAGCCATTGAATATCTGCACTTAACGTAATTTTATCTGAGAGAGAGCAACATGACATTTCCCGGCGTTTCTAATTAGCGTTGCAATACTCGTTGGCAGAGCATGAAAGATTACCAACGGTTTCCAAGCAGAGCTGGCTCAGTTTAACGATACCTGAGCCCCATTTGATTCGTGAGCTACTTCAAAAGCAACTGGAGCCCATGTTAAAGGAAAAGACAGTTTAGCTTAAGGAAAGAGATTGCTGTGCTTACCAGTAGCTAGGAATTTCTGACATCACTCGGCGATAAGGAAATTTTATGACGTTCGTTTCTATTAGTTCTTTCTGCGAATGTCAAATAAATTCACAAATTATAGATTTTTTCCATTATTATATCATTTCTACATCATTCGTCAGACTTAGTTGGAAGATTTTGCTTGAGGCTGTACTTTTTCTTCGCAAACATAAACTGTGGTCTAAGTTTTGAAAACGAAACTGTAATATTTATAATATGCATAAAATAAGTGAAATGAAATAGATTTAAAAGAAAATGCGAAGAATGCTGGGCTTCGTGAGTCATATGTATCTAGACAGCTCACATTATTTGGAAAACGGTGAATTTCTGTGCAAAAAATATATAATGAAATACTGAAAGCCGTCAACAGTCAATCCAGTGAATTCGTCCCAGCGAAACGAGCTATATCTACTTGTTATGAAGAAAAGCAAAGTATTATTTTCCTGAAGCATTTATTTTGAAGTCAGCAGCGCAAATTCCTTCAAAGCGTGTAGGATGTTTGTTCGTGATCAATTTAAATCCTTTGAAAGTTTAGGGGGCGACAAAGATTTATTTGTTTTTCAGTTACATTCCCATGTCAGGAAAGGAATACAAACAGAAATGAAATTTCGTTTATATAGTGCAAAAATAGCAGAGTTTGGTGCCAGAAAAATATAACAGGATATGCGAAATTTGAAAAGGTTTCATTTTTCTAAGCTAAATAACATTGACGCTCGTTTAAGCTAGAGGTACTAGCAAAAACAATCAACATTTAATGCTGCTTTTTCTGATTTAAAAAAATCTTGCATGAATAGGCGTTGCATTAAATAAAATGATTTCTGTATATAAAATCTATGAAATCACTGGCCAGAGCTAATTTTGATTTCATACACCGGAGTCGATAGCATTATTATAATTTAACTGGTTTATAGGTGTAAATATCACTGTGCTATATAATCATTTAAAACATTAATTGCGTCAATGCCAGGCATTCAAATTTTCCCTAAATGTCACAATTTACTACTCGGCGACAGTGCTCAAAGTTTGAGTTCTTTA